CTTGTAAAATTTTAGCCTTATCGAGAGTCTGAACAACAGCTAATTGATGGTGTTTTGTCTTAATCAAATCTTCTTTTCCAAAATCAATATGAAAGTTATAGTTATTAACAGAATAATCTATAGCTTTTATACTAATACGATCCTCTTTTGAATAATAATTTTGTGATCTAGATTTTAATAATTCAAGAGTATAATTTCCAAATCGTTTTGCTCATTTAGTAATTGTAGAATTACTGCAGTTTTCAATAGGCTTTAACTCTCTATTTTTCGTTTTACATGCTTTTCTTACAGATTCAAGTTGTAATCTAAATATTAAAGTTCCTGACCATGCTGTTTTAGAATTTGGATTTATAGCCTATAAATACTATATGTGTTAAATTTTATTTACAATATATGTAATAAACTTCAAATAAATTAATATAATTTTTTATACCTTTTCCCACTTATTAGCGACCGAACTTGAAGACGTAGAACTTAATTTGTGTTCAAAATTCTCACCATAAGAAATATGAAAAATAGGTTGATTATTTCATAATTAATAAAACAGTGAATGATTTTTTTTTTTTTTTGTCTCGTCCTGTAGTAGTTTTTACACTATATTGATCTGGAACTTTATATTTTCTTCCTTTAGAAATAGAAGTATAAGCTGATAGTGGAGCATTTAAATATACTCCTTCTTCAATAATTTCATAACAAAAACTACGTTAGATAACATTGTTTTTTTTTTCCTTATAAACTATAATAGAACTTAATGGATATGATGAATCTTCTTCAATTTCAAGATTCATTATTAATATTTATTTAAAATAACAGGTATGAATTTGTTTAAATTTTAAGAAGTACAGCACATTATTTAGATCACCAGACGTTATTATTATATAAATTTTTAAAAGCAAAATGTGATCAAAATGCGGTAATTAATATTAAACATTTATTTAAATCGTGAATATAGACCTTTGGTCCTAATATATATAGTATTGAAGTCTAAAAACAGTAAATCGATGGTGCAAGCAAACTTTAAACTATTGAAAAATAATTTGTTGTTGCAAACATTTCTTTATAAGTAATGCCAAGGAAAAATTAAATTTCAGGCTTTCAAGTTTATTATTTATTATTAACCAGACTCAGTCCTGATCAGAAACATGTATAATACTTAAGTAACTTTAATTGTATCTCCAGTCAGAGCCAAATCCGTGGATAATAAACTTGAAAACCTGAAGTTCAGTTTTATCTTGGCATTACTTATATTTAACACATTCAATCACTATTTTTCTAATTTTCGAGTAGAAATGTTTTATTGTAGGATTGCAGGAATCATGTACTGACTATAGCACGTACGTACGCCATGAGAGGGAAAATTCATCCAAGATCGACATTGAGATAAATCGGCTAGATTTGCCGAATCTGTCGAAATAGTAGTGAGAAAGAGCAGAGATGGCATATTAGTCAGATAGAGTAAATATGTTAGAAAATATTTGATAGTATCGAAAATGTATATAAAGACATAAACTCTTAACCTTGAATAAAGTGATTTGGTTAGAGTTCAATATTGAAAAGTATTTGCTCTGATAATCCTCTGACAAGTAAACCTCATATAAAGTCTAATCCTATAGTTCCGAATTGGAGCCTTGTGACGTAATTTAGAGTTCTAACCTAAAACCCAAATGAAGTCTTTCCATGCCTCGATTGTAGCCTTTTATTATTAGAGATTGCTAGTTAGTATTAGTGTGACACATCTATCAGTTTTGTATGCTAGCAGATATGATACAATTTCATATATAAATGCATTAGTAGGAAGACTTTCATATGATTGGCTGTTTAAATCAATTTAATTTTACATTATTTATATAGTTTAAAGTACTTTTTAAAACAAATAAAACTACGAAGAATAAACAAAAAAGAAGTATATAGAAGGTTTTAATAGGGTTATAGGACTCCAGTATTAAAAATAATCAAAATCATTTCTGATTTTAGAGAAGTTAGACTTCTTAAAGATAGATAGAATTAGGTTATTACCATGCTAACTTCTTTAAAACCAGAAATAATTTTGATTATCTTTAATACTGGTGTCCTAAAACCTTAATAAAACTTTCTATATACTTCTTTTTTGTTTATTCTTCGTAGTTTTATTTTTTTTAAAAAGTA